ATCGAATTTGCAGTTTCCGATTGAATTGATAAAATTGCTACATCGTTTAATCTATTTTCGGTCATAGTTGAATGTAAGTATGTTTTTATTCGTTTCAAGCATGAGAACGACCGTTCAGAAGAGCAATTGTTGTTGATATTTATATGTTTTTTGTCTTCTTGTGTCAAATACTCTTTAACATGTAACATCTCTTCAATAAAATCATCTGAAATATCCTGTGAATAAATTTTACATAATTTTAATGCTTCATTCTTTATTTCTTCAACTGCTAGTTCGCGAAATTTAAACAGAACGTAAAAAATTTCTAATTCTTTATCGTACATACATTTTCGACGGTCTAATTCCGAAATTAATCGATCCACAATTATAAGAAATACGTTTATTTTGAAATCATCCCTAGCAGCGAACAGAACTTCTTCATTATCGTCGTCTTCATCATAATGTCGCTTCCTTTTTCTGGCACGTTTTTCGCTTGCGGTGTAATTCTGTGTACCATTTAATTTCTTGGCCTCCTATTCATAGATTTTAAAGTTTTCGCGGCAAGATGAAATAAATGAAATCAGGGATTTATACAAATCGATGACCAATCCAATATCTGCGTCTTCCTGCTGTAGTTTTTTACTTACTATATTCATACGATTGAGAACAGTGCTCCAAAAAACAGTCATGAACGCAGTTACTAATCTGGCCATCTTTTTAATTAGTCCCGATGCTTCTGCCTTCGAAATCCCCTTCTCTAAACTGTAATTGGAAATAGCTTCCAGAGTATTGTAAATACATTTCCAAGACTTCATTAAAGCCTTGCAGGCATGATCTCTGCATGACCATCTCGTGGACGACAGACTTTTGGTGTTGTTTTTACATCATTCTTCTTCAATTTCTCCCAACGTACCGTAGATGCCGAAAAGAAATTGTAGATATCTTGTAGAAACGTAAAATAATTTGTTGATTCATTACAACAATTAGCTGCCGACGTACCAACTAGGTTTAGAGAATGAGCTGAACAGGGTATAAATTCCGCATATTTGTTTATATTCTTAATTCTTACTTGGAGGCCGGTATAAAGTCCCGACATGTTCGCAGCATTATCGTACGATTAACCTCTACAATCATCCAAATTAATTTGAAAAGATGCTAAAGTTTCCGATATTATATTATGTTGACCGTCTAAAAGTAAAATTTTATTGGCCGCGTAAAAATTTTCGCATTCAAAAATTTGCTGCCTACGAAAATTTGCCGGCGTAGGCTACAGACTACCTAGCCTATTTAGAAATCCGCCCCTGCCTGCCAGATCACCTGATTTAACACCTCTTGATTTTTTTTGTGGTGCGTTCTTAAGGATAATGTTAACAAATGCATGCAGAAATAGTAGCCAAGAAAACCTTTTAAGATGTAAAGAAAGTGTTAGTAGAAGGGTTAATAAATGTATTGAAGTAGGTGGGGAAATATTTGAACAAATATTACTTTACTTTTATTCATAGATTCAGATTATGCAATCAAAAACATAGGACGCCATTTAAAGAATTGGTCATAACCTTCATATAACCTTGAAAATAAGGTCAAGGTCAAAAAATGTTATCGTCATATGGTTTCTTCCTTCGCACAGAACAACTTTCATTTGGTTCATTTTTATGTAAAATGAATCGTTTTCGAGATAATCGCTTGTCTCACGTTAAATGGACCAGCCTGTATATATATAATACGTTACTCCTTGTTGATTCAGAAAAACATTACTTTGACGCGAGGATCATAGTTGATAAAGTTAGCTGCCGAGTGTCCAGGTGTGTTATCAATAATTAATATCACTTTAAATGCGATGTTGTTAGAGGATCAGTACCGTTCAACTTCCGGGACAAAGTGATTCCGAAACCAGACTTCAAATAAGAAGAAGCAGTAACCCAAGCTTTTCGGTTTGACTTCTAAATTACTGGCAATCCTGATTTGGATTTATTTTTTATAGCTCTGGAGTTTTCAGATCGATACACAATGGTTTCAATTTACAATCGTCAGCAGCGTTTCCACCGTTTTTGTTGCTTTAAATCCTGGAAACACCTCCTTCTTCGCGTCATTTTCTTCCAGAAGTGGCCCGTTTCGTCTACATTGAATATAGTCTGTGAACAATAGCCGCCTTGTTGCATATATTCTTTAAATTGCCAGGAAAAGTAGATGCAGCGACTTTATCTGCACTTGCTGCGTCTGCACTCTGTGCAATATTGTGCCAGTCGCATCTTTTTTTAAAACGACAAAACCAACCATTGCTGGCTAAAAACGTTTCATCTTTTGCTCCGTCACCAACTTGTGTCTTTAGTTCTTCAAAAATCTGTTTGGCAGATTCCATTTCCGCTAATGCAGTTTACGAATTATGATAGAAGTTAACGGCTGAGCATTTTCGAGAACTTTACATTTGTCCTTTATTATTGTATACACAGTAGTATAGGATAAATTGTATTTGTTTGCTAATTCACATGTTTTCAGGCCTTGTTCAAAATTTTTCAAAATCTCATGCTTTATTTCTAATGTCAAGGTTTTGCGTTTTTTTGGAAAATTCGAAGAAACGAATTCTTTCCTTCTCTTTGACATAATAACTAATATGAAAGAAAATGTTAATGTATGTTTAACATAATAAAATACTTACGTTATTCTAAAACACTTAATATCACGTTTTATAATAGGTATGTACTGACTGATTAATCAACTCTCTACGAAGAACTCGCATAAACTGAAGGAGCTAGAAAATTTTATGATTCAATCCGCTATTATATAACTCATATAACTCAATAAATGAAGTGAATCGGGTATATGTTCATATGAACTTTTTTATTACAAATCATCTAAACAACATGCTCCATTAGTACCGGGAGAACTTCATGAAACACCTGTATATCAATTTGGTCGTTGAGAAGGTTTACATTTTTGTTTCTCTTATGTTTGTCAATTTCAAAAGCTTCAAACAAATCCAATTTTAAATATTTTTTCGCATTTATGTAATAGTTTGGTGTTGTCGAAATCTATTAAATGTCCAGTATCAATGCTGTGTTTATAAATATTAGAATTTGGTTTTGTTTTGTGTTCTTGTAATCTTAAGTCCAATCTACGTCCTGTTTGCCCTATACATACATGTACTGTTGCACTCTGTGCAGTTAACATTATATACTCCACAATCTTGGAGAATTTTTTAAGGGTTTTGTATACAAAGGATCCTTTGTCATTGTAATTCTATTTAAAATTGTTGATTATCTTGTTTGTATATTTATTTTATTATCCTAACCAAAAGATATAATTAAGTTCATTAAGGGCCGGTTTATCAATGTCAAGTTAAATCTGTTAGATACGCAACTCATGGATAAACTTGCCTAACAGATAACCTCAGTGAACCGTTTATCCAGCAACTTTCTACCCGACAGGCAGCAAACTACAAGATAGAACATAGATGGTACCCCTGAGTGTTAACATTAGAAACGGAAATGAAACGTAATTGGTGAAATTTGAATAATTGACTTTAGTTTATGAAGTTGATATAAACAGCTGATCGTGTTTTGGAGGTTATCATTCCTGTGTGCTTTCGGTATTGTGCTTTGTTTTCGAAAACCTCTTTTATAATGGAATTCCTACATGAATATTTATTAGACAGCGATAAAGATGAGGATATTGTCCAACTCTTAAATTATAAACGACGACCATATATTATAAAAGAAAGACAAAAGTCAAAACCACTTTGAGGAGTTGGACGACCACGTTTTTTTGTTAGATTTCGGTTAAAAAAGGACACAGTTTTGTCAATCTTGGTTAAAATTAAGACGAGATTATACTATATTAGATTATAGATTATATTATTATTTTTTTTTTAATACTAGATTATTATTTATTTTCTATAACATTTTTATATTCGTTTGCCAAATCCATCAGCAAGTTCTTTTCTGCTGTACTAAAATTTGATGATCTTTTCTTTTTCTTGCTTATCCATCAACACAATTATATTTATTTTTGACGTTATATTTTAATTTCATTGTCATTTCCTTTTACCAAGCAACCAAACTTATGCTCACATGTTTTTGACAATATCTAATAGGTGAACCCTTAACCCTTAAGTACACTTAAGTACTTCAATCTGGTGGGTATCCAAATGTCATATTTATCAATAAGATTACCGATGATTACTATAAACCGGCCCTAAGGCGTTTTTCATTTGAGAGTGGATAATCTAAAGCTCTATTGATCAAGTAGCGAAAACTTGCTATCTTTTGGGAATATGGGTGTGCAGTCATAAGTAATCATAGTTAGGATTGTAGTTTGTTTTCTATACACTGTGTACATAAAGTATGGAATCGATTCGATAAAAAATCGGGGGATATTCTTCCGGAAAAAAAAGGCTTACACATCTATGTTATATTTTTTAACGCGCATTTTTTGAGATAAAATTGAAACGTACAGGTGTCCCAGAATTGAGTTACCATGCCTAAGTTAACATTTTTAAATAGGAACCCCCATTTTTAGTAAAAAATAAGTAATAATATGGATTTGTCTTAATATTGCAATATTTATATTCATTGAATGTTATCGACTGAGATCTGTATTGTAGATGTGTTTGTCATTTTTTATTTGCTAATTCTTTAATCTGTAATAACTTATGTTATTCTTGGGTTTTAATTGAGATTATGTAGTGAAGATTTCCTTGGATAATTAACGTTTGTATTTCCTATTTGGAATGACGTATTCACAGTCTCGTATCGTCTTCTTTTATTACATTCATTTACACTCTACTTTAGTATAAGTAGAGTGTACTTAATGCTAACGTCACAAGAACAAACCTTCTTATGTTTCATAACAACCTTATTAATTAACCTTCTTGGTATTAATAACATTTATACCTACATAGTCATACTTTACAAATCTCTGGTGTGAACCATGGTTTTATATTTAATTTGCTGCCGCTGATGTTTATAGTGTGGCATTTGTAGCAAATTACTCTGTAAACTTAAACGTAATCTTAACTTAATTGTAATCTTAATTTTCTTGCAGATATGTACAGAAAATTTTTGGAGTATCGATACAAGAATAATAGCAAGTTGCAGTGGACAATGTTTGGTTTTGAAGGATTTTTATTAGTAATGGATGCAAAATTGATTGAAGTGATTCTAACGAGTTCAAAAATATTAAATAAATCCCATAGTTATACTTATTTACACAATTGGCTCGGAACTGGTTTATTAACGAGTACTGGCAATAAATGGAAGAAACATAGGAAAATTATAACGCCCGCGTTTCATTTTAAAATCTTAGAAGATTTTATACCGTCTTTTGACACTGCCAGTGATGTTTTAGTAGACGTTTTAAAGAAAGAAATCGGTAAACCATCCACCAATATTTTTCCTTACATCACTTTGTGTATGTTGGATTCGATTTGTGAATCGGCGATGGGTACAACAGTAAATGCTCAAAAAGATGCAGATTCGCTTTACGTTCGTTCAGTAAAACAGATGTGCAGAATAATCGTTGAGAGAACTCTTAGTCCGATGGGACAATTTAATTCGACTTACCAATTTACGAAAAATTACAAACTCGAACGCGAAGCTGTAACTGTTTTACATAATTATACGTATTCCGTTATAAAGAGCAAAAAAGAAGAATTGAGTGAATTAAATGGGGACACAGAAAATTATGACGTGGATGAAATCGGAATGAAACGCAGAAGAGCTTTTCTGGATTTACTTTTGGAATATTCGAAAGACGAACAAAATAGATTATCCGATGAAAATATTAGAGAAGAAGTTGATACGTTTATGTTTGAGGTTATTATTTTTTACTTTTTATGTTTAAGATTGAATATATATTTTTTAATATTTTAAGGGTCATGATACAACTGCAGCTGCAATTTCATTCTGCGTATATTTATTATCAAAAAATCGAGATTGTCAGGTAGGTACTTATTCTGTTAATATGTTATTCAAATAACCAATATCAGCAAACCTGTAGATATGAACAGTTTAAAGAAGTTTATGCCATATATAGATGCCAAATCTACTGAAATTAAGTGTAATTATTTAGGTGACTTGCACCATGATTGTCATACATTCCAGATCAACCAGAAACTTACCACTAGCGTCCATCAAGCAAACGATAATACAAAACAATCCATCAAAATAATTAGATAATAATGTTTTAAATGAATTTTGAAACATTTTGAAAGTTGAAAAGTGTTTGCCTTCAACATCACATTCTAATTCTTTCATAGGTTGTGCAACAACTACATAACAATTGCTTACCAATTTCATCAGACGAATCTGGATCAAACAAAACCTGGTCTACCCTATATAATATTTATACTGTTATAGGCTCTATGGCATCATCAAAGCCAAACAGTAAGGAAAATCAGATAAACTGGAATTTATAAACCTCTTCTTCTTATTGTTTCTCTCTCTTTAGTTGGGTTTGTTCTACTTAATAAGTTCTGCCTCTGAGACATCTCCTGAGAAGTTGACTGCCAAGTGTCTCTTCATCTCTTTGGTAGTTTGCCGGGTACTCTAGGTACTCTCGGACCGGTTATTTGTAAGCACAATTTTCGTAGTCTGTTATCTAGCATTTTACGAACGTAATTGTGCTAAAATCCCTTTGTTTTGTCTTCCCATCTCATACTGTTCTGAACCCCGCATTGATTTCTGATGTTGGTGTTTTTTATTTTGACCAATTCTGTTACTCTTTGTCCTCGCGTATTCAATGCCGTAAGTCATTGTTGGGCGGATGCAAATCTTGTATATCCGCACTTTACTATCAATAAGCATGAATTTGTTCGACCAAACAGTATCTTAAAATCAACTTGTAATTGCACGCTTTGTCGATATGACTTCTCAGGTGCTTTGCGGGATCTGGTGATATGCACACTCAAGTAGGAAAATTCCATGACTTATTCGATGCGGGTGGATCTTGTTAGCTGCCCTGCTACCACCATGTGCTTAATTCTCGAAGTAGAGACAATTATCCTGTGAGTTGACGATTATTGCAACGTCGCGTCATCAACGCAGAATGTTGTGCAGATTATGTTTTGGCTGATTTTATATCCTTGGTTTAAAGTTGTCACTTTCTCGATTTACCTTTTGGAGCCTGGTATGGTGATGTCTTCGGTAAGTTCTTCTCTGACTCTTACTTTAGTTGTGTTGTTAGTGTTTAATTTATGTAGTTATGATGTTTATGCATGTATACATAACATAATAATCTTTTATAAGTCTTCTTTTATAAGTAAATTTTAATCTATTTTATGATGGAGTTTCGAATGCTGATGTTCTGTAACTGCGTCAAAACAGTGTTTTAACAGGTACGCAGTATGGACCCGGAAATTTATAACTTTGGTTTTTTTTTCTAATCATACCTATTATTTTCCAATACCCAGCAAACCTTTCTATCATTATCTTTCTGAATATCTCAATGTAGTTTCTCTTAACATTCTCCTGGCCTTTCTTAACATCTTCTATCTCTGTCATTTACAGCAGAGTCCTTGATCCCGCTTTCTCTTAATGGCATACCTTACATTTCTCAATATCTACTGTTTTTCTCCATTCCTCCCGGTCCTGCGCCATCAGTATCGAGTGACTCGTCAGTTCCACCAACGAAGTTTTTCAGCAGTCCGGTTTGCGTTGCTAGGTGTCTAAAGTAGCTAAGGTATGATCTATTAAACACCTTGATCAATCTGTTTCGAATCGTTTGTTTTGTGTTCCGTCTATGACACTTTGAGTAACCGCCTGTCTAAACCGACCCACATAAAAAGCTTCGGTCTTCATCTTCATCAGGCTTTTTTTTCTTTAATGTCCACGTTTCCTATTGCTATGTGGCGATTGACAAAATTGATTACTTAGCAAACAACACCTTGGTACGTCGAGTAATAGCACGATCTTTCCAATTGGTTACTTTTATTGTAGCCGCTACAACCAAGATTGGTTGTAGTTGATTAGTTGGCTGGAGTTGATGGTTTAGACAAGGTGGCGTTTATTTTGAAACAGTAGTTGTTCTTTGCATATAAATTTTGAATCAACACGACTAGTTAAAGTTATTATATGGATCCATTTTCATCGATATCAAAATTTTAGGTAAATTGAATAAAAACCAGTTTTTATTTTATTTTACTGATGATCGATGTTCTTTATTAAAATGATGATGGTCTAGTTGGGCCGAAACATGTCAAGGTAAAAATTTTAATAAAGAACATCGATCAACAGTAAAATAAAATAAAAACTGTTTTTTATTCAATTTACCTAAAACGACTAGTTAAGTTGATTTGGGGCACCTATTTTCTGAGTATTTTCCACAGTTCTCAACGAATCTACCGAATCGAAGGTCTTCGTGTACTATACGAAGCATAGGTAGGAATAGCCTTCTGCTATGTTCTTTTGCCTTACGGTAATCTGGTGGGTGTTTAATACTTGTTCTCTTGTACTCTCGGCATTATTCTCCTTGTTCTTCCGATATCTGTAGAAGTAAAAATGTTTGCCTTTCATTGATTATGTGCAATAATATCTTGCTTGCTTATCTGTAATTATTGCAGTCTGTTGGTGAGCCTTTCTCAAGAATTGTATAGATTTTGGCAGTGCTCCCTCTACACCTCTGCTATGCGGTATGTTGTATTTCTTCGGAAATTCTCCTTATGCAATCATTCTTGTTTCCTTTACATTTGTATCTAATTAGTTTGTTTAAGTGGTTTGTTCTATGTATTTTTTCTTCATCCTGCAAGTTTGACATAATAATCAACACCGGTCGAGAGTCGTGGACAACAACACGCTGTTTGGTGTTCCGTGTATTTGTTAATTTCCAGAGTTTCTAATTGATTTTAAGTTGAGATTTTCGCTGACCGTGTAGTGCGGTTGATTGTGACTTTTCGTTTGTGAATAATTAGCAATTTTTCAATAAATTTAGTTGTCATATAATCCTTCGGATTTACAATAATATAAAGCATCATGCCGGTGAACAAGTTATATTGTGGGCGGTGCAATAACGAGGTGGGGCGTAATACAACGGGGGTGCAGTGCGAGGTATGTAAAACTTGGTTTCATGCCAAATGCGTGGACCTCGGCAAGGCGTCGGCCGCTGCGCTCTCAGTCGCGGGCGCGTCCTGGAGATGTTCAACTTGCCGCAGTCCTGTAGATCGTCGAGCCTCTCGCCTGTTCCTACCCACCCCCGCTCCTGATGCTGCGGTACCGACATCTGCTGTTACATTGGAGGCTGTTTATGGTATGATTAAGGCTCTAATATGCGTTCGATGAATAGCAGGTACGAAGAGATGGTCGAGTCAATGCAGTTTTGTGGCCAGCGCGTATCCGATTTCGAGGTGTCCATGAAGCGTCTTGATGACCGTCTCAAAATAATCAATAAATTAAATGATGAGAACTTGCACCTAAAAAAACAGGTTGCAGAATTATTGGGACGAGTGGGGAATCCCGAGCAATATTCCCGCCGTAGCAATTTGGAGGTCCAGGGTGTGCCTGAGAAGGATGGCGAGGATCTGGTTGCCGTTGTTGGGTCTCTGAGTGATTTTCTTGGGGTTCCGGTTTCGAGCGTCGATGTGGATGCTGTTCATCGCGTTCCGCATGGTCCAGGCGCCGCGGTCACCGTAGCGCGTGGGCTGACGTCTCCGAAGTCGATCGTGATCCGTTTTTGCAGCCGTCTCAAACGGGACAACTTCTTAGAAGCTGCTAAGCTCAAAAGAAGATCAGCGCCGGCTGGGTCGCCGCCAGGACTTGCGATCAGGAGTGTATCGGCTCGTTGTTTTATCAACGAACATTTAACGCCTGCGAACAAGGTTCTTTTCGCGAGGGCAAGGAGGGTTGCTAAGGAAAAGAATTATAAATATGTATGGACCCGCAACTGTCAAATCTTTGTTCGTAAAAGTGATGATGCTCGTCCTTTGCCTATCAGGTGTGAAGCCGATGTGGACAGGATGTAATCGGTTTTGGCAACACTAAATCGTTCATAAATTTGGTTATATGTTACTGATCACTATGTCTTCAATTGGTTTTTATTATCAAAATGTGCGAGGTCTAAGAACAAAGTTGAAATCCTTTTACACTAACTTATTGAATTCTGATTTTGATCTTATTTGCTTAACCGAGACCTGGTTGCATCCTGGCATACACTCGGCAGAATTGTTTCCGGATCGCTTTAACGTATTCAGGTGCGATCCAGCATACGGCAACGATGGGGATGGTTCGATGGGTGGGGGAGTTTTATTTGGTGTGTCTACTGCTATATCAGCGGTAGCCCGTTCTGACTGGTTTGTGAATCCGGAGGTAGTGAGTGTAACGCTTAGAGCCAGGGGTTCTTCGTTACATGTTTGTTGTGTTTATATCCGTCCAAATGATAATTTAGCATTATATTCATTCATGGATCAGCTTACTGTACTCACACGGCGGTATTCTGGCGACGAATTTCTTATATGTGGCGATTTTAACTTGCCAGAAATTAAATGGGAGATTGATCTCTGCTCTCGTCATTGTGTACCGTCGCCTTGCAGTAGTGCCCGATCTAGTGATTTTCTCGATACTCTATCTGCGGCCTGAATCAATTTAATCACCACCTTAATGCCTTCAACCATACTTTGGATCTCGTTATTACTAATTTTTATTCAATATCTGACATAGCACTGAGCGATACACCTTTAATTCGTGAGGACATATCTCACACTACTTTAGAGTTTTCCTGCACAGTAATCGCACCTCCAAATCTTAAAGATAACTTACCCGCTTATTATAACTACAAAAAAGCAAAATTTGACGTACTCAATTCACATTTTAACGGGATTAACTGGGAAAGAGAGTTGGAGGGTGATGATGTTGATAGTTCTGTAGAAACATTTTACGCTCACTTGCGTCACGGCATTGACAACCATGTTCCAAAAATGCAAAAGCGAGTGAGTGGTTTCCCTGTGTGATTTA